GAGGAGTGGGGGGGGGGGGGGTCTCTAAAATCCGCATTAAAATTTTGGCTAATATTTATGAGAGGGTGGGTCCACAGAAAGTAAGGGGACTGGGGCTCTCCTATCATACCGTTAAGAATTTTGCTAATATTTATGAGAGAGTGGGTCCAGGGAAAGTTAGGGGACTGGGGCTCTGCTATTACTCCTTTCAATGAAACTTTTTGTCTGCTTGTTATTTATATTGTCAATTTTCAAGACCAACTCTGATGGTATTAAGTAGTCTGTAATAAACATCATATAAATGTGCTGTCTCTAATAAATGCCCACCCATCTAGCCCCCAGCACTTGGTTTAACAGGCTGACGAGACGAGCTCTCTTTCCTAAGCCAGCCAGACAATTTAATCTAAAGGTGCGATGGGCATCTTTGCAACCCCAATTTAACATTTCACACATTGTAGTTGTTTGTAGAATTAGAAAAATTTTGGAGTTAGCGTGCAGTCATACACAGACACATGCATGTGCACACGCACACCTGCCAACTTGGACATTAAGTTCCCTATTTACAGGAAGTCTCTTGAGTAAACTTAGGCAATAAATCCATGTCAAATCTAGAACATCTCTGAACAGCCAGGTTTATCCAGGTACCTCCAGAATATAGGTGTGTAATTTGCCCCACCTGACACAGCACCTGCAATCAGGGGTTGATTAGAACATAGAAATGCAGAGTCCTGTCATATTGTTCATGACAGACACATTTAAACTTTCAGTCTTCACCAAGGGCACGATTATTTATTATTTTAATAATATGTATTAATTCATTATCTCCCCCCCCCCCAAAAAAAAAATTAATAATGATAATAATTGCCACATTATAAAGACACAATTATGCACACCAGGATTTTCTGCACTTGGATTTTTCATGTGGCTTTCAGTATTTTCCCCCCTTTTATTGTCAAGGCAGACTTTATCACAAACGTATTAACCCCTGCTATCTCTTCCTGTCCAATTTTTACCACTTTGAGTAAAATTCATGTGAATTATTATGAGTGACCAGAACATGGAAGACTACAAACTTAATAATGGGGGTATATGTTTTGGTTCTAGTTCTTTGAATGTATCTATGTTTAACTGTTAAAAATATTCAATAAAGGTTGTAATTATGTGATACTTAATTTATTTTTCTTTTTCCAGGGGTCCTACAAAAACTAAAGTATGCCACCTGAAGGCAGAGTTTCGCTGGAGGAAGAGTTCTATATATATATAAATAAAAGAGGACCGTTAGAAGATGTTATATACATGTAATCAATCGAACTTTGTGACTTCTTTAAAATTTAGAAAACAATAGTAAAGCCTGAAAAAAAGAAAAGGCTGAATTATTGGTATTATATTCTACAATTACTATTATTATATAATTGATAGGTGAACGTGTTCAAAATGCTACTGAGAGTTAACAAGCTAATTGAAAGAAAAATTAAGGGCGTCATTCTGATCTAAGGCTAGTAATTCTTGTTGGTATATTACCACACGATCAATATTTTCTGTACAGATTTTTTTTTCTGTTGAGCATTTATGTAAATCCTCTGTCAAATTTGCATATATGTTGATTGTAATCTGAAATTTGCATATGTGTTGATTTTATTCTTTTGGGCATCTTGTAATTATTCTGATCACTAACGGCCAGGATTTTCTGTCGCAGGCTTGGCATCTCTTGTTCAGACCAGGGCCCTGTCTAATCTTCTTTGTCGTTTCTTTTGTTGAAACTACATGGTGTTGCCTCAAGAAAAAGCCATTTCGCAATTCTTTCTTCATTGCCTTGTTATAATCAATATTATGATTTTATTTTACTTTCTGTTGAGTAATTCTTTATAGTAAGGTGTTGTCAGTGTCCCTCTTCGTAGCTACTTGTAGTACATGCAAAAATTTAGAGGATTTTTTTCCAGCATCTGTAATCCAAGATTTATTAAATAATTATTAATTTTTTATTTAATTTTTTACGATTGCCAGACATCAACTCTCGGGAACACTATAAAAGTCAGTTGTGGTACATGTGATTAAAAAAGAAAGATGTTGCCTTGAAATGGGAATGAACTCTCGCTCTTCTATGTGATTACACTGATATGTTTAGGACCTTTCTGGGTTTTGAGTTGTAATTGGTAAAATTGTTTTAAGTACTCTAACTTGACTCTGGTATTGTTAAGCCAACAAGGCTGCTTTAATATTGTAACATCGTTGAGAAATGGACACTGTATCATCTTTAAGATGGAGAAACCTTGGTCTAGAGAGACGGGTTGTTTGGTTCAGCAAAAGATACCAATGATTTCTGTTGTTTTGTGACCTTTCTATTTTCTTGACTTTGATCTATAAAATGAAGCCGGTTGCAAGTGGTTCAGTATAATAAAGAACGACAGTATCTTGGAATTAGAATCAACACTTGTTTCTTGTAATGCTGGGTTGGTTCATTGGTAGTAAACGTGGTTACCTGGCCTGTTCGTCCACTGGATACCTGCTTGCTTAGCAAGTAGGCATTTTACTTGCAGATCTGAAGGAGAACGTGAATACAAACTGACGAGAAATTATCTTAACGCTTGAACTTATCGCATTGACCTAGTCTGTAGGCATTATTCTGGCCTGTTATTTTGTGATTGATTTTTCGAGAGTAATAATAATACCTGTTAAATAAATGAACGGGAATCTAAATCCGATAGCTGTTATTTTTATTACTATGATACAATATGATCTATTTGCTTAGCGGGGTTTTTTTCTGGCAGCTTAAGACATTATCTTGACAATTGCAATGGTGAAAGTATGTTTATTATTTGTATTTCGTGGACAAAAGTATATACGAAGGTCTGCTGAACTTGTGGACTCTCTCTAAAGTACAGGGCAACAAAAAGGCCTGTCAAATGATGTGATGTACGTGTAGTGAAAAGAGCTGCAGCAACTTTTCAAAAGGCGATTAAATTTGCAATGATGGCAAAAATTGTAAAAAAGGAGTTCGTTGTTGTTACTGAAGCTTCATTTGTTGGTTCGTTTGAGAAAATCCAAGTAATTTGTGCAAAGTTTTGGGGGGTATTAAATTTGTTCAAGTCTGATGCAGTGCCTTATATTCGACACGTGTTTTATTTCTTCTTACTGCCGCTTCTTATATAGTGTAAATGTTTGAGGAGTGAAAAAGAGAAAACGGTCTCTTCTCATATTCATCCATTCCTTGAAACATTTATGGATTTTTATCTCCCAAGTTTGTAAAAAATAAATCATATCAGAAAGTCGTGTGCTGTAACTAAATTAATGTTAACGGGTCCCGTTGAGATTTTTAAAGATACCTAGCTAGCAGCTTCAAAAATATTAAATGCACTGATTTATGAGTGAACATATATCGCTTTTGAGGTTGTGAAGTGAAATGTGTTAGTTGGGAACTATTTAGAGCGCATGCGCAGGCATTGTTTACATCCGGTGTGTTGAGCATGCCATCTTTACACAGCCGGCAAGTGGGCGATAACGGTATTAAACTTTATCCGAAAAGATTAACTGAAACTGACTTAAGCAAAAGCAGAAACATGTCGACATTGAATAACGAGATGGGTTTCTTCACAAGACCTGAAAAATCGTTCTCAGAAGCAATGAAGGATGCTTGGAAAGCGGCACAATCGGGGCGCAGCCCCATGGAAGCGCATTTTGAAACTGACTCCATGAGCGAAGAGTCGGCCCGACAGCGCTTTGAAGCCCTCAACGCGGCTGGTAGATTTTTCTACGGATCTCTCAGCATAATTGTACTCTATTTAGCCGACACGACGACCCTACCTTACGTATATGCTGATGACCCAAATGCATTAACCACAAGACGATGGGTGTTTTACTACATTTTCATAAACCTGACTTTGAATTACCTGTTTGTCGTCTTCCAGTTGTCTAAGTACAAGCCAGACGCTTTGCCGACAGTTGCTCCGAAGGAATGGTGGAAATACTGCGACCGCTGTAAAGATCGTATACCAACAAGGGCGCATCATTGCCCCCTGTGTTTTGCGTGTATTTTACGTCGAGATCACCACTGCTTTTTCGCTGGGGTCTGCATTTCTTACAACAATCAGCGCTACTTTGTTGTTGCATTGACTTACATCCTCGTGGGATGCTTGTACAGTTTGTGGCTAAGTAACAAGTACCTTTCCGGGACTTACAGAGCTATGTTTTCGTCTGAATGGTATTATTTTCTTCCCCCTGTGATGCTGTACGACTTCGTTTTCGGAATTGCGACCATCAAAGTTTTGCTCATCTGTGTGATAGGATTTTTCTCGTTTTCCGCGGGTCTCACTGCCGCATATTACTTGACGATGCAAATTCTTCTTATTTTAAGAGGACAAACGACTCACGAGTTTGGAAAAGGAATAATAACTTACAGAAGAGGCTTAAAACACAATATAGAATCTGTGTTCGGACCTATTTGTTTGGTTCCTTTTTATTTCATATTTCCCGTAGTTTACTGTGTGAAACCAAAAGGAAATGGACTAGAATGGGAAACTGTGAACGGGAAGAAAGTATGATGAAGTTATTAGTACTGCTTTCTTTATCCTATCATCACTGAATTGATTTTTTAATTATCAGTCAACAGCTTTATAGGCTTTAAAACTTATTACTGTTTTTACTTTTCAGTTTTTATCCTTTTTATATGTGATACATATTTACATGTGCATTGACATTGATACAGGTTATCATGAAAAAAACAAAAAAAAGGCACCAAGATTTAGGTGTTTGAGTTTGAAAGATTACTGAAACAATAAGGCCTCTCCACAAACTTTATCTCCCCCCATTTCTAATTTCAGAAATCTCTAAAATTCTGGGTATGTTGGTGTTAACATGGTTTGAACATTTCATTTTGGGTCATTATTGACACAGGAGGTCACCACCAGTCACAATGCATTGATCTCTTCTGTCAATAAACAATTAAGCTGTTGCTGTGGAGATAGTTAGCCTGCTCAAAAGCCGTGTGCTCTGCAGTCTTTGTACGATCAATTAGGATTTGTGCCAGCAAGAGCAGCCTCTTAAAAAGGCTTGAGCAAAATACTATACCACACTCTATGTATGCAACTTTGCCAGCTGATCTTAACATATGACTGAAATTGTACGTGGTCAGCATATAAATTAATTTTATTGGACTAGTCCATTTTTGTGATATGTTTATTTGTATTTCTTCTAGTGCAGTACAAGTCATATTTCCATTTTTTTTTTCAAATAAACTTTTATTAAATAATGAACAATACAAAGGTCTTAATTTCTATATTTGACTAGCAACAACATGGTTTTGAAACAAGTATATCAATTAGAGGAAGATTATGGAAGACAATGATAGTCTCAGTCTAAGTACAAAAAAATGTAAAAAGGCTATTTCAAAAAAAAAAATAAATAAATAAATAAAAATTATTATTTATAATAATAATAAAATAAATGACCTAAACAAAACATAAAAAGTATCAAAAAAATGTCTTCAGTGTTACTAACATGCACGTTTTATCTGCAGCAACATATAATGCCAAAGATCTTAATTAAAAAGAATACCCTGAGAAAAAGACAGCTGATATCTAAACCTGTACAGCTTTCATTCTAAATAAAATGCAAGATTGTTCTAAAATTTGATGAAAAAAAAAAAAAAAAACGATACCATTCATGCCTGTAATTAGCCTGAAAATGAAAATGGAAACTGAATCTCAAAATTTTCCATCTTTGAATCACTCCTGGGAGGCGGAAAGAGGGGCTTTATACAAAGACCATTAATTTGCCAATCTCTGAAACTGAAACAGTACAGAAAACAGTCAAAGTGAAAAGGGCCTATCCCCCCCCCCCCCCCTGTGCACACAGGTTAATGGTGCTTCAATTTTTGATTGCAAGACATTTTGATCATCTGCTCTATTTCATGCTGTCATAGGCTCTATTCCCATAGATTTTAGATCGATCTATCCCCGCGGGAGTCTTACTAGATTACTTTCAGATAATCCGACTTAAATGTCCGTCCCGCCTACTACAAGCTGTAAGGGGTTAATTAACTTTCGCGTCCGCCAGGCTGACAGCTATTTAGCGTGAACCCCCAGGGAGTTAGGTCGATCTAAAGTAGGTCGATCTAATGTATGGAAATGGGGTCATATTTTTACCTCATTCATAAATACACAGTCTCAATGGTCCTTATTAGCAAATACCACTTTGAGAGGTTGTCCCCTAGGATTAAATATTTTCAGATCGTTCCACTCTGTTCCATCCCCACTCTGTCTGTACAACAACTGAAGAGGGAGGATGAAGTTGAAAAACCAAAATTCCCCAAAAACCGATCTCAGTTTCTCCCGCATGCTGCTCAAGCATACTACGTGCAAGTTTTGTCGCACCTCAAACGTAGTTTTTCCAGTCAGTACCAAAATCATCTCCCAAAGAAAGAACCCCAATCCCAGAATTCCACTCCACCATAAAATGTAGCAGTATGAAATAAGCAAGAGATTGTGAAACGTGATTTTTCCTTCAAACCACGTGTAAAATGTATACGGGAATGCATAATCGTACCAGTGCATGTCATCAGGGAGAACAGAATGTAAATAGTAGAGCACATGCAGAAAAGAAGCCAAACTGCCTACGCCAGTGTAAAATGATAACACGATGAAATAACGCTGATTGTAAAATCCTATGCAGCGTCCAACGAAATAACAGTGGTGGTCATGCTTCAGTATGCACTTGCGACAGTCACGGCAGTGGTGAGAGCGCGGAGGTGCATCATGCTGGCAAATTAAACAACGTTTCCATGCCAGATTCATTTCTTCTTTTGACACAAACTCTTGTTCGGTACGAATGCCTGAGACACCTTCCCGCCTGTGACTTCCATGTTCATTGTCCAACACAGCCGTCTCAGCAATAGCTACTTCGTCCCACAAAGTTTTTCTTAAATTGGGTCTGTCTCTCGTCACAAAATATCCAGTTTCGTAACATCTTACACACAGCCAATTTGCGACCACCTGTATAAAGCAAAATGTCAGTGCAACCCTTAATGGGTAGACATAATGTGGATAATCTTTTTGGTATATTTCTGGTATGACATCTATCATACCTACATAATAACCAGTGAAGAGAGTGTACATAAATATTCCTGATGAAATACGGTCAGTACAAATAAGGGTCTCTCGTTTAAGTCCTTTCCCATGATAATGAGCGCGAAATTTACCCATGAGGGTATCTTGTTCATCTCCATCCTCTGATTCTCCATACTGCTCGACTGTCATTCTATGTGGTGGCATGTTGGAGTTCTGAGGTCAAGGTCTTCCAGATGTCAAGGTCAACTGATTGTAGGTCACAATTAATGTGCTGCAGAGCAAGCTCACCCAAAAAAGGTCAGAAGATAGGGCTAAGGAGGTCAAGAGCTGTTTTTTCTTGTCACTGTTTCTGGAAGAAAAAGAAAACATGAGGAAATGCATAGATGCATAGTATCAGGGGCAGATTGAGGCCATCTTCTGGATCTTCAGAAGACGGTCAGATTTTCAAGTTTACCCTGATGGGTAACAAACTTTTTTCTTTCAGAAGACGGTCAAAAATGGAGGATGGATCAACAAAGATAATTTAAAGACTGCCAGAAAACATCTCTGGATCCACCCCGGAGTATGACAGTCTTGTTATTTTCTTAATAGTTACTGTAGCTTAATATTAGATGATTCGGCCTGATTTCACCACTAGTTCTTGTTATAATGAAAATTATGAAAGCCTAATGAAATGAAAATGTATTTTAAAAGGGAAAACATCATATAATATTCGCCGTTTTTGCCAAGGAAAGCACATCTGAGGTCAAAACAATTAGCCAACTCATCACAATGAAACAAATACGCCAAACCAACAAAGTGCTTCTCAGCCTAAAGTTGATTTTTGAAATACTGATATCTCAGTTCAATTTTCATTCCGAAGCACCAAATTTAAGTCCGCAACGCAGGCTACTTACATGTAATACATTATAAATACCAGCACATCTTTCAGTTTCATGTTATCGTTTAACATTTTACGGGTTCATGTATCCGAAGACATATACCTTTCAGCGCTTTTTGACATCCGGGGACTATTATTGTGTCTTGAAGTCGAACACAGGGAAATCCACTAATATCGATTGCTGTGGGTAATCATATGATGTTCCAAGGCATCTGATATGCTTGCTGGCTATGGCCGCCGCCACCTTCAAACATCGATGTACGGAACTACGCATGCCCAGTTCAATTAGAGCCTTGGCAACAATAAACCAGATTTCTCACCTAGCACAATCATGTTCCACGTCTTGTTTTTCTTCTGTTGTGGTTATCAAAAGAACTTTCAAATGCATTCTTGAATACGCTAAAACATTCCACAAAACTTTTTAATTCTGATTTTTACTCTACAGTCGATGGCATTGAAGATTAAGTTAAAAAATATATGGAGCAATATCAGGAGCGGCAATCATCCCCCTACCCAATCTACTGCATTTCTTTTACTCCATCCTTTGCCGATTCTTGCATATTTGTGCGCTCGCGTTGATCGTTATTTGCGTTTACAAGTGTGGCTTCTTTGTTTGTTTGTTTGTTTCTTTCTTTCCCTCTTTTTATTTATTTATTTATTTATTTATTTATTTATTTATTTATCCGATTTTTTTTGTGCTCTTCCACCATTTTTTTTTTTTTTTTTTTTTTTTTTTTTTTTTTTTTTTTGTAATTTTGTCATTTACTGTCCAAAAATTAAACTACATCCATGGAAACTGGTTTGGTTCACTGTTAGGAGAACGTGAAACTTCAAAGTGATTTATATTAATGGCGCCCGCATGTAGGCCAAGGTCGACACAACAGAGTGCAAATTATTCACTGTTACACGCAGAACATCAGCGTACATTTTTTCACGTGGCGTAATACTCTATCTTTACCCACACTAGACCACAGTTTGACGGTCACAGTAGCGGCTGAAGGAACACAGATCATGGTTCGAGCCTGGTACTTCGATAACGATGAGGAGGGGAACAAGAAGCTCCCGCACATGACCGATCCGCCCCAGTTTGTGGATTTAGAAGGTCTGAAGAAGATTGGCGTGCTTTACTGGAAGGTGAGACGCTGTATTCATTCTACTGCACGTCTTCTTGGCTCTTCTTAGCTCCCCCGGAGTTTCAAACCTAGAGTTTGCTGGATAATAAATCCTGTTATTATTGTTATTGGGAACTACAGATTGAGGCATGCAGGCAATAAGAGTTGAGTGCCCACTTATCTTGGAAAGTGATTTGCCTTATTTTTGCTAATTAACTATTCAGCATCTAGTATATATGGGGTCTTCTCATTTTACCCTGAGTTTCACAGATAACTGGTCACCAAACAGGGTGTCTTTTCGCTTATAATATATCATATTTCAGTACCCATTTTCGCGTTCCCTTTCCGATTACTGGATCGTCTACAAACTTAATGAACCTCATTTATGAGAAGGTTCCCTGGAATCAGCCACCAACACCGCCTTAATGCATATTTTCATTAAAGTTTTGTTGTCCTGTTTTTTAAACTTAAATTCAAGATTAGCCTGGATATGGGGACAAGAGATTGCGTGAAGTGTGTTTACATGCCCCATATCTGTCTAAGCCCTGTTTTTTTTCTGAATTTTCTTTTTTCCTGGTTTCTCAGTGTTAAGCAGAGCATAACAAGGCGAAGACAAAAGATCATTTTTACCTAGTGCCTCTCTTCACCCCTATAACGTCTATAACCTTGCTGTCCGTGCTCGTTCTCGACCTCATACCTTTAAATTGCATATTTGTTCTTTTTTCATAGGTTTAACTGAATTTCAGTTGAATGAAATTTGCAATCAACGCACTTCGCCTAATTAAAATAATACTTATATTTTAAGGATTTATACTAAGTGCGTAATAAGTACGTCCCTTGTACAAAACAGCATCAAGATAACGTCTGCTTCACATGTTTTTATTCATATTTCCGTGTGACCTAAATTCACCGATATTTTTACATTGGAAAGGCCTTAGATGATGATGTGCTTTTCATGCGTGAAGTTGTTTTTTTTTATGGTTATTACCTCACCCAGGGATGCATGCGGGTGCACATTTTCCTGCCAGAACTAGTTACATTCTGAATCTTGGATTAAGCATATCACGGAGTAAAAAATGTCTACACAGACGGACTCTTTGTGATAGACAAATAGGGGTATTTTTAGTATGTTGTTTATTCACTACCGTGCTTTGCATAGAGGCTTCATTAAACGCATTTATGAATTAAAAGAACTTAAGATAAAGAGGTACTTGTTCATAATGCGAGAAGTTGATGAGGATTTAGCTTTTCCAGGATCATTTCAGACGTGCAACAGACTCAAAAGACAGTCTGGATTTAAAAAAGCAAAAGCAAATGTGCTTTTCATTAGGGTCGAAATGAAATGTGAGCTTAGATTACGCATACCGTGCACGTGTTCACGTCGACGTTGTTGACAGTGTTCCTGTATGTTTTACTTAATGTTATATCTGGATCCCTTTTGTATTTTTCTCTATCTTGGACCTGTTTCAATAACATATCCCTGTGAAGACATCCTATATTATGTTCTTACACTTTGTCGACATCCTTTGTGGACACCCTGAATATCTTGTGCTTCGTATTTCAGCATTTCCAAAATTGCCCTCTGCCAAAGGTCATCTTGGTGATGGCGTTTTTTCAATAAACATTTTTTATTTGTTTTTGTATTATAATTTTTTTCTTGATCTGAAATGTGCACAGAATGAACTAAAAGTAAACAGTTCATTCTGTAAATATACATTCAGTAAATATCGAGAGTGGAAAATATCTCTCCATAACCAAAACTACTCGTGTTATATCCAGGTATAATGTTGTTATTCAGGGTTGTGTTAGGTGACTCATTCACTCCATCTGATGGGCGGGTTTGCTGTACTGGTATACTTGTATACAGGAACGAGATACTGTGTGAGACAAATTTATAGATAAGTAAAGAAATAATTAGTCATAAAAATGATATAAATATATGATGACTTTTTGATAGATATGTAGATATAAACAGACAGACCAACAAAAAAGAAATAAATAAATGAATAAGTAAATAGATAAAATAAATTAATAAAATAATATATTAATACCCGTAATAAGATAAAGAATAAACCGAAGCTTGAAAAGATAGATGGATAGTTGGGAAATATAAATGAAAATAAAAGAATACATGGATAACCGACTAATAGATATACCTACAGGAGGGATGGGGTTACGCATATATACAAACAGATCATCTTAATATATGATCAAAGATCTTAGAATGTCAATTTATTCTCTCTCTTTCTTTTATTTTTCTTCCCTCAAATTATTTTCTTTTCTCTCTCTCTCTCTCTCTCTCTCTCTCTCTCGTCATCTTTTTCTTCTGTCACTTCAAGTTATTCTCCCTCCTTCTTCTTCCTATTCTTTTCCTTCTTCTTCTTATCATCAGTATATATGTATCTCACTTCATATATAAATATCCCGTATCACGTGTCAGGTGGACGTGGACGGTGACGACATGGAGGACGGAGGTCTGGTACCCAAACTGAAGGAGGAGCGGGGCTACAAACACGGAGACAGCATTGCCATCAGCAGAGAGCTCATGCCGGATTACGTGGACGTGGTAAGATATTTCACCCTGAGTTTCAGAGGTCAGGGAGAGCCCCAGTAGCGCCCTGAGACTCAGAGACTACAGGAAGTTCAAGTGGTGCCCTGAGTTTCAGAGATAATAGAAAATCACCGCTTATGTCAGTATACCTAATTTTTTAGCTGGTTAACGTAGATGGCGTTCCCAGCAGAGGCACACCGAGTTTTTGATTTAACTAGAATTCCAAGTCTATTTCAGCGAGTGACTGTCGTATGTGTTTTCTACTTATCTCTGAAACTTGAGTTGGCTATAATCTCCAGGACATTTTTTTCATAATATCAGAGCACAATGCGCTACAACAAACACATTTTCTTTAAGTCCACCAAGGAGGTTGTGTGTTTGTCTTGTTGGTTTGCTAGTTGAGATCCTTCTGAAAAAGTTATAGAAAGTTTTTTTCTAAAAAAAAGTGAGGATGGGTAAGACATAGGGCCCATTCCCATAGACACCACTGGGCTACATACCCGGCAAACACAGAACGTTTTATAACGTTGCCATAACGCGACCATAACGTTTTTGGGTTATATGAACGTTATGATAACGTCATAATAACGTTATAAGTGTTTGCTGGGATAGACCAATCTAAATACGCGGGGATTCTCGCTGAATGCAATCAGATTAACACAGATTGAGGAGAACGCCAAAATTTGATGCTTATACAAGTATGTTGGAATCAAGAGGAGGCAAATCATCTGCTTATCTGACTGCACTCCCCGCAGAGTTGGATCGGTCTACGAAGAACGATATTTTCATTGGAAATGAGTCCTTAAAATCGATTACTTTTTTATGATGATCCATCAAAATTGATCAATTATGACAATTGATCTTTCTTGGTGAAGTTCCTTGCTGTCTGAGAGTTTTCTAACTATTTAGTTTTCTTGATTTCAGAGCAAAATGCTCTACACCGAGCACTTGCACCCCGACGAGGAGATTCGCTTGGCAGTGGACGGCGTTGCCTATTTTGATGTCAGAGATCTGGAGGACAAGTGGATCCGCATCGAAATTTCCAAGGGCGACCTGATTATTTTGCCAGCAGGATTGTACCACAGATTCACACTAGAACAGGAGAAGGTGATTTCCCCCTCCTCTTTCTCCCCCCTCTCTCTCTCTCCTCATCTGAAGTCTAAATTTATATTATATTGCAGGCCTTGTTGAGCGGGTCCCAAGACTTTAAAAACCATGGAAAAATGTAGCAATCGTAGTGGTCATTTTGGATTTGGTCCGTTTCTTTGGTTACAATTTTCACATCATGGGCTTATTTGGAAAGCAGATTCGGTGCTATCTGATTTTATATGTTTTAGGTCTGCATGTGTATAGAAAGGGAACTTGTTTTGTCCTTTGCCGACGACCTTCCTAATTAATTAATTAATTTATTTATTTATTTTATTTATTCATTGACTGATTCATTCTAATTTAAGGATATTCACACCTGTAATAACAATAACTGTAGGTCTTTTAATTACTTCTCATTTCAGCGTTTTGTCAAACTGGAGCGCTTTTTCACAGAGATCACGCGCTGGACGCCATACAACCGTCCTGCAGACGATCATCCTTCCCGCGTGGCGTATCTTAAATCAATGGAGAAACCCAAGGAGGAAGAGAAGAGGTTCAGCTGGTGCAACTTTCTCTAAGATTTTAAAAAATCTTTTATTCCTATTTTCATGTTTTTATTTCTTTCATTTTACTTATTTATTTTTACTAAGTTACATTCTTAGTGTGTGGGTTTTATTTGATTGAATCTGAAACATGGCGCAGTGCCGTGCCGTTGAACAACTTAACTAGCTTCAGAATTGACGTTTTTGCGATATTTCATGCATTTTTATGTACTGTAAAGCGTGGAATACAGGGCACCTTGCCGATTACCACGCTTATCCAAGTTAAAGTGGAAAACGAGAGAGTAAGCTAATGGTCTCAAAGTGTCTGGGTTGAAATGGTATTTTTTATTTATTTATTTATTTATTTATTTATTTATTTATTTATTTATTTATTTATTTACGCAGGGAATATTTATTGAAGAGCCCACATAACTTAAAAGGACGCGATGACAGCTACATTTTCATGGCTAAACATACTGTGGAAATATTGAATATTTTTGTGCTGCGAAAACCATGGCTGAATTAAAGGAAACGGGCTCTCATTCTGTTTCTTCCCAATACAGAACATACACAAACTTTGAACCACTGAAGCAAATGTGGTGCGCGGCATTTTTTCATTCATGCCATATTGTTTACGAAAATATGCCAATGATACCAATTAATGAACTTGAACAGTGGAATAATATGGCCTCGCTTGCCGTCACCCCAAAAAGAATAAGGTAAACCTTAGGGTAATATTTGACCATATTTCGAATTATACTGTAGGATTGTGCTCTTATTTATAAAAAAATGCTCTTTAAGTCTTCAGCGTTTTGTTCAGGCGCTACGAGGACCCATGCGTTTCAAAACAAAGTAGGCAGCAAATACTGCATGGAAACATCTTCGAAAAAAAACAACCAAAGGGCTGTCTACAGAGACTTTCCTTCCTAAAATAAGTGGTCAGATTCAACAACGTAATAAAGAAATATTATTGACACATTTATTGACATCGGCTACGTTTTATCAACTTATGAATTTCTAGTTACTCCATATACAACAAGTATATACTAGTGTTTCAGATATGAAGACAAGAATACAAAACATGCACCTGGTTATAATATCAATTAAAATTGTTAAAATTACATTATATGAATTGTATAGCACGTTGCCCCAGGCTCTATTTATAAAACAAATATAAATCTGTCTATAACTTTAATAAGTGTATATATTACTTTGTATTAATATCGATCGTTACTGTTCAAAACCATCAATTTGACGTACTTTTTCGGCCGCCCATTTAAATAAGCGCCATTCTAGTAGGTCCTGTATTTCAGGTACGTCTTTATCACATTTGACTGTTCAGTATGAGTCACTACCACGGCAACTGTGCCTGTTACTATCACAACTACCGCGTGAGTCCTTATAACGGGTACCGTAAGACTGTCAGGAATTATCATGACTACGTATACTGCGTGAGTCACTATAACGACTGATGCATTCTGCCTTTGTCGCAGTCCTCCAGGGAAAAATTATTACGACTGCTTTGTGATACATTACCTTGACTTTCGGGGGAGTCACTACTACGACTACCTAGCGAGTCACTAACACGACTGTTTGAGTCATCATTACGCCTCTCACTGTTTTATGGAGTAACTTTTAAGACACCTTGCTACCATTAATTACCTTTCATATTTCTATACTCATATGTATCAATTAACTATTATAAAACAAGGAAAACAGAAACAAGTCAAATGAAATCAACCTCGTAGTTTGATTTAAAAAGAGTGGTTTACATTCTAGTATGTTGCTAATTGGATAGAGGGCAGTAGCTACTTCCTGTGAATAATTTAAGACTGTGAATCAGGTAACCTGACTCGCTGTTTGAAAAAATATTTGAAACACGAACTCACATTCTTACGATATGTGTCCAGCACATTTTATAGTCTAAATGAAACTTTAAGGCATTCGTATTTTTCGTAGTGACCAGCATTGCGCGTCTCTATTGAAATATATCACAAGTACTTTTTATAATTTAATTAAACGTGTCCAGATCATAATGAAGACCGGAAACAGAATAGTTTTTTTTTTCATATCTCACAGCTAACATTCGCCATCAACAATTTATTCACTGTCCTCAGCAACATGAAAATCGTCGCCTACTAAGGTTCATTCTAGTAACCCCCACTTGACCGAGAGGGGTGTCGTTTATCCTGAGGAGTGGAAACTCGTACAGCGGAGAGGTTCTATCTTGGTCGCGGTCTTCCAGCTCCTCTCTGACGTCATCAAGGAGTTCTTGGTGCTCGTCACAGCTCTTGGCCAGCTTGAGATGACGTATATCGTGTTGTATGGTGATCAGCTTGCGGGCCAGCTCTTGGTCGAGATTTTTCATGTCCATCTGAAGTAAAGAAACATGTTCGGAAATCAGTGGTAAGTTAAAGCGCATCGTACAGGTGACAGGGTAGTTAGACAATATTTTTAAAGGATAGAAAAGATTTAATTAGCACAACAACAGGATGCATGCTTTTAAAAATGACATGCCAGTAAAATTGCCGTAAAAGTTATAAACAGTGTTAAGAAAATAAAATAATTTGAATAAATAAATACACATTTATACAAATTATTTGGTGTCAACACACTACAGACTGTTATATCTATGTTTTAGTATTTAAAACTCACCAGCTCTTTCCTCAGCCACTCAATAGCCTTATCAATCTCTTCTCTGCGGTCCTTCTCATCCGTGATCCCTTCGTCCTGTAACGAGGAGGAATCCTTTCGCTGGCGCAGGTGCACGAGGAGAGGCTTCTCGATGTACTCCTCTCGCCACTCCTGATAGCTGGGCCGCCTGGTCTGCAGTCTCATTCTGGTTGTCATCATCTTTAACCTGTCAAGGTCGTTGTCCGCGTCCTTGTCGTAGCGGTTCAGGTTATAATTTTCTAAGGATATTGGCGATATTCTTGCCCCTGGTAAATTGGAACCGTTTCTACTACTGTTACTAGCAATTTCAGAGTTGCCGAGGCTATTGTCGCTTTCGTCGTCAGACTCGGCCTCTGGAGGTTCTACGACCAATTTCGGGATGGAATGGACGACAGACCTGGTAAAGCTGCCAAGTCGAGGCCGCTCAAAGTTCTCATTGACATCTGTAAAAGAGGTGATATTTTCTATTTAATGCTTTTGTGAGGAAATCAAATGAGTGGCTGTTAATTTAGAAAAAAAATCGGCCATTGTAGAAAAAACGCAGAGAAAATGTGTTATCCAAGACATGATGTTCTATTTTTTAATGATATCGATAGCCTATATAAAATATTACGGTTTAGGAAAATTTGACAATTTTAACTCATTGTTTAATTTACAACAGAGGTTTCGTTTTTGAAGAAAAAAGATATGCAAAAAAATACGAGTCAATATATTTCAGAAGGCTGCAATTTACCTAAACTGTGATTACTGCCGTTTAAAGATTCGCAGGAACTCGCACTGTGAAGGGATTCCGTGGAACTTCTCAAACTTCCCGACCGAAGCTTGGATCGGATCGTCTTGGAAGCTGAACGTCGTGGAGTGCTACTGCACAGTGACGTCATTGATGAATACTGCTCCAGATTCCCAATCGAGGATCTGCGAGAGTGAGTACTCGTCAGAGAACTCATGGAGGTGTACTGATCTAAATTCCCGTGCTTCATCTCAAAGTCCGTAATAGCCTTGGTCCAAAATTCACTTGGGGCGAATCCGGGCGACATCAGCGGGCTCGGCATCCTGTTTTCCTCAATCTCATCCTCATTATTATCCTCGTTGTCCTCATCCGAATTGAAATCATCGTCGAACCGACTCCGCTTCGGCTCTTCATCGTCCGAGCTCCAGATGTCAGGGACGTCTATAGTTAAGCCGCTGAAGTTCTTATTGCGTCTCAGGTTCTTATTGTTACCACCCACGCACTCCCCGCTTTGATAGAGGGCGCTGCTGCTGTTGACACTGTCGGTCTCGGACAGGTTACTAACGGACCCGCTCTCGGAGTTGCAATCCAGTTCAAGAGACGCAGCGTCGAACGCCTCTTCTGTGATGTTGAAGGAGGTGACCGGTTCGTACTCACTACACGCAGATCCTCTGCTGTTGCTTCTGGAACGTACCGAGAGATTGAAGCCGATGAACTCATCGGGGTCTGGTACGGAGAGGAACGATAAGTGAGGGGCCGGCTTGGGGGGATTCAACCGTCCACTCTCCAACAGGATTTGTTTAACCTGTAGTAATGGGTCTGTTGTGTCCAAGTCATCACCTTCAGGCGCCTCAGTTTTACTTTCTTTTACCGGGGGCAAATGTGCCGTTTTGTTTATGATGCCGTCTATTTTCACGGTGAAGTCATTGCTGCTGTTTATCAGTTTGCTTTCAGATTTATTGTCAGAGCTAGCTCCCACGTAAGTTACTTTATATTGTTGAGTATTTTTATGTGAGGTGTTGACTTCTATCGAGGATCGATTTTCGTGACGAATACCTTCAGTTTCACGTTTTAAGGAACCAGAAAATAAAGAGGAGTCACTCAAATGAGTACTCAAATGAGTACTCTTAATCTCTGACACTTTAGAATCGTCCTCAAAGGACGCGATGTCACGACTCACAAATTGAGAAGCAGTGATTGTTTCATGAGAGGAACAATTGAATTCCGCCGACCCTTCGACCCGTCCTAAATCATACAAACACGTATCATCTGTAGCTTTTGCTATGATCCCTGAGATAGAACTACTGAGAAGGCTTATTCTCTGGTCCATTTCACTTTCGCTTTCGATTTCCTCCACTACTGCATCGTTATCATCTAATGTTGTCTCCTCTGAATGATCTAATGCGAGGGTCGTTTCCTTTGAACCGAGTTTCTCAGATGTCTCACTATTGGTAGATTTTGGGTTTTCTATNTATGAAAACAAATAATCCATGTCATTATCCTTAGGATCAATATCTTCACAATTAAATTAATTTATTAGGTTCTCTCAAAAAAATTGTCTCATCCAACTCTGCTGATTATATTTAGTCTCTAGTTCATTCTACACCACTGTGAATCCCGAGTCAATTTGTATTCCAGATTATGGTGTATTTATCTGAGGATTCATCTTTAGGATCCACTCCACCACTTCCAACAACTGAGCCATGTTGTAGTGACTGAAAAATAAAACATTATCTTAATTTAATGATAAAAAATGCTTAAAAGCTGTAAGCATCTTAACCAAAATAAATTTAATCGATTTAATAAAGTTTTCAAAATAAGTCAGAAATTGGCAAGCTAAGAATCGATGAGATTATGGTGGTGATCCATTAATTAATTATTAATCAATAATGATAACTGAGCTTCCTTGGCAAACATCTGCTTAAAGTAGTTTTCTCTAATTCTTACCTTGCAATATTTCTGAAGGTTCTAAGCTTCTGGCCCAGGTCTTCCAGAGACACAGTGTTGCTGAAGTCTCCAGCACAGGTGCAGTACTTGGACATATTGGATTCCTTTACCTGAGACATTAAATATGAACAATTATATGTGTAATATTATGGATAAAAACTATCGTCTGTAATCTTTTTTTTTCCAAATATTATATATTAGGGATAATTGATATTGTCTTAAATTTGTTTTCTGACAAGACATAAGACAATGCTAGATGCCATGCATCGAAATGAAAACTAAAAAAAAAAAATTTAAAAATTTTCAGCAATTTCCTCTTAATCACAGTTATATGTGATTGTGTGTACTTACAATCTTTAAACCACTTTTAAAGTACCAATGATTGACCAAAGGCATACTAAATTTAACTGGACAATGCAGCTATTCAACACAGCTCAACTTAAAAAAATAATAATAATAATAAAAACTTAGAAATAACATAAAAAACCAAACATAATAACATAAACAGCCCATTTTAAACAACTGTATTAATTGTTTCCCACACTCACCCCATGACATTTCTTGCATTTCAAATCCTGCAGTACATATCCCATAGATTTCCTCTGCACAGCGTCTACCAGGGCTTGCTCTATCTCATCTGTGTCGTACTCATTGTTACACTGTGGACACTGCCAAACTGACCTGGAAAACAGCACAATCAACAATAAAACCAAACAACTAATCACTATAAATCAGTATAAACATCAATTTATGCTTTTAAAATCAAACAACTCATCACTTGGTTGTATATACTTATAAACTTATTGCCTCCACCAAGGAAGTCACATATTTGATTCTGTTCGTTTTTGTTTGTCTGTATGTTATGTATGAGTTAACAGTTTTTCTTGGCAGAGGTCTGCACTCTCTGAGTGCTTTGATAATTTCAAGATGCATCATTTTATCTGTAACTTGATTTTAAGGAAATGTTCAAAAAAATTTACAGAGATTAAATATATGAGACAAGTATCAAGATAAGGGTCCTCCAACAGTATTTCATTTCCAGTGCGAATATTGTACTTACATGGATTCCCCTTCTTGCAGAAGTAATGGGTCTCTACAGAGGTCAAGGTCTCGGATGTAGTTACACGTTTTACATATCACCTTAAACAAAGAAGATATGCATAAATTCATAAATATGCAGTTATTAACAAGACTGTCAGCTTGGGCTGAACACCCAGTTGAATGAAATGTTGCCAATTTGGAAGGAGGACAATCAAACTGAATGTACCTTTCACAATTTGGGTGATTATAAATAATCCAGCTTGGTAGTCAATGCATATAGTGTCTCAATAAATCCAGGACCTTCTAAAAAGCAGTTCATGATATGACATGTTAACTCACCTCTGGCAGTGTGTATGAGAGACAGGGGTCCCTCCATTCTGCATCATTGGAGAATTCTCCAACTCCTATCAGCTTCAGCAGGTCCCTTTTCATCTTCATCACAGGGAGACTGATGTTGGAGTCCAGCTCCAGAACCTGAAGACAGTATATATAAAGAGAACATTTCTTTTGGCAAATGTTAGACATATTTCACAAGTTGGGGATGGAGGGGGAGGGGGGGGGCATATGTCAATGAACCTTGAAATATGAGCAAAAAATTAAATATAAAATTACAGGCAGACTTGTGCTGAGACAGTTGACAACAATTCCAAATTTGGGAGTCACTTTGGAACAACAGTCTGAGAGAGGGCATTTCTAAGTCACTGTATATCAGGGAAAAGGGGATCATTTCACACAAAGTGCATAACACCAAAAGTTGCATTTAACTTTTGCAAAGAACTGAAATTTCATGCAGCTAAAATGTTCAATCTAGTANGCATATGTCAATGAACCTTGAAATATGGGCAAAAAATTAAATATAAAATTACAGGGGGGGGATATGTCAATGAACCTTGAAATATGGCCAAAAAATTAACTATAAAATCACATGCAGACTAATAACAATACTATTTACATCAATGCTGAAAATGAATGACTGCTTTAAACTCACTGAGGTTTTTCCACTATTATTTTAAAATTTGGGAGTCACTTTGGCACAACAGTCTGAGAGAGGGCACTTATAAGTCACTGTATATCAGGGAAAAGGGGATCATTTTCACACAAAGTGCATAACACCAAAAGTTGCATTTAACTTTTACAAAGAACTGAAATTTCATGCAGTTAAAATGTTCAAGCTTTTGAATTAAGTACCTTACAAACAGCCTTAACAAACTCCAGAGCTGGATTACTGAGAGGAAGGTGGGATCCTGGGAGTATGGGAAACTCTGTGGCAGCATCTCCCAGAGTGTTCCTGTTCCCTGCTATCTTCTTCTGAATTTTCTGGGTAATCCTGAAGAAGATTGGTATAGAATTTGAAACTAATATCTCAAAACTGATCTATTATTCACAATAATTTTCCTTAAAAAAAAAAAAGAAATATGTAATAAAGATGCAATGTACCATGGTCATGCAAATATGTATTGATCTCAAAAGTGGTATATTGGCTCCCAAAAAGTCTGAAATCCACCAATAGTAAGAAAAAGTTCGTCCCTGTGTTCATGCACATGTGATACATTGTAATCATAAGACATAACTCACCCAAACATCTGCTGCGTAAGATCTCCCTCAATCAAATTCTGAGAAAATTCCACCTGTGCTGGAGTGGCCGCCCCATCCATCGACTTCACAGCTGGGTTGGTCTGCGTTTGACTTTGACTTGTGTGCCTGCGCCTGATTGGTGTGTTCCCTGGTGTCATAGAGCGAGCCTCTTCCTGTACTTGTTTGTAAACAGCCAGGATGTAGCCTGCCACGATCATCTGAAAGATACAGTTGAAACTGTTTAGAAGTGAGTGAGGCTTAGGGATCCATATTTGAACTCCAAAGATCCTGACAAATGAGAAAATATTAGTTTTCCAAAGATTAAACAATCACAACCCATACCCATACTGTACAGTGATCTTTCTATGAAACAGAACAGTTTAGGAGAGGGACCAAAAGAATTCTCTGTGGCAGGCAATGGAAACTTTGAAGCAAGTTCTTTTATTTGATAAAACCTAAATCTGATCATTATTTTACTGCATCTCCCTTACTGACAGATTTTTAGCAGTTCATTTTTAAACTTTTTATAAAAGTTAAAAGTTAATTAATTCATTAACATTTATCTTATAAAATTAACTATCATTATACTAACATTGAAGTTGGTTTGACAGGCTGCGGCTTCTGGCAGGTAATGCACTATATTCCAGTTCATCTCTATCACAGGCTAGAAAATGTGATAAATTTGAAAAAATAAAAAAATCATTGGCTCTACTAAGACTCAAACGATATTTATAACTTAGCTTAAATTTTTTGCCAACTGTAGAAAATTGCCCAGTCCTATTTACACAGTTACTGAAACAGGAAGATATTTTTTATAATAAATGAATGCGAAAACTCATTTCTGAGCATCTTAAAATTATTTGTAATCTTTCCCTGATTATCTGCATGCCGTGACTACAGATAAAAACAGATTAATTATGAGTCCAGAAATTTAGAGAAAGTTTTCTAAAATATTTTCTTGTCCATTGTGGCTATTCCNAAAAAATAATGCTTTGTCTTTTAGATCTATTACGGTGTAGGGGGGTTATACCAACTTTTGTTTTTCCCCCCCCCCCCCCCCCCCCCAAAAAAATCTTTTTTTACAGCTACTACTTACATCATCGTCATCATCATCAGACAGGTTCAACACTTCTTCATCTTCTTTTTCTAAACCTCCATCATCCTCATCATCACTTCCCTCATCTCCCTCTTTCTCCTTTAGTCTTTCCTTCTCACGCTGTGATTGCGCCTCTTCTTCTTCAGTAAGAGAAGGCACATCAAATTTTCCTTTCACTCCACCATAGTTTGCCTAGAGATGAATATTCCATTTGAAAACATTTGTAAAAATCAAATACAAAAGGAAATCAAAGTGATCTGCTAAATCTAAAATTAAACTGAACATATTCTAATAACTAATTTTTATTTTCTTGCTACAACTTGGAATATTGTCTGTCCCTTACATAGTAAGTAATTTCAAAAGGATACTTCATGAATTTTTTACCCCCCTTTCCCAGCATAAAAGAATACATATATTAAATAAAATTAAAGCAATATCAACAACTTACTGCGTCAAGCCACATCAGAAACTCCCAGCATTCCTTATACTGGATATCAATACAGCGATACAACTCCTTGGCACGGATACTATTGGTGATGTACTCCACATAGGCAATGGCGTCCGAAATTCTCCTTTTCTTGGTACTTAAGATGACCCGATTAAAGCTGGCGTACACTATGTTGGAACCCAAACGTTTGAACTCTGCTATCAACTGGAAATATTAAAATTAACCTAGCAAACTACTTTTTTTAACATTTCACGATATTTTGCATAATATTTTTCATATCATCACATGTACATGTATTAGAATACAAGACCATGAGTATACCACAAAAAATAATCTTTTTTTTAATATTAGCACCTTTAAATTATAATCAGTTACTAGTGACTGT